ATGTTGAACAGTTTCTGAGTTATAAGCATTTTTGCATGTCCTGACACCCCCTATTTGAAAGGAGCCCCCTCCTCAAATATGGGGTCTATCGTAAAACCGTTGGATGGCATGCTGTAGGTCAGACTAATCTACAGCGCTGCCAAATTTCATGTTGATAGGTGCAGCCATTTTTGTGCTACGGTTGACCAAAAATCACTGAAAAAATAAATGAATGAATGAATGAATGAATGAATGAACAGTACGAAAACAATATGACTCGCGCTTATGCTTCGCGTGCGGGGGGTCATAATAATGATTGAAAAACAGATTTGATTTTATGAAAATGCTTTAAAACATTTCTTAGATTAAATTTTTAATTCCTGCTGGAAGTTCAACAGCAAGTTGCTACTGTTGCTATTTGTGCTTGTAAATAACTATAAAATCTATAAACAAGTGAAATGCGAGACTGACAAAAATGTAAATGAAAAAATAAATAATAACAAGACAGAACTTGACTCCAACTGATGCTGATGTCGCCCGTCACCATTCAGTAGTGACCAACTGTAGTTTTGTTGGAATCATCACAGGCCTTCATTATTTAAATCATTTCAATAGGTGGGCGGACAGGGGGTTAAAGTGATCTTGTCAACTACACAAACGTATTGAACAGGTCTCCCTTATGATGCACACAAAAAAATACACGTGTAAGAAAAGAGACAAATGGACAGCTTTGATCCAAAATGGACGACTTCCTGTGGGGATTGGACCATGATTCTGACAGACTTTTTTGTAGGTCCTGAGACGTTGCACATTTCAGGTCAAAACATGGCAGTGGGGTGGATTCTGGTCAACCATAGAAAATTGTGTGCTGATTGGCTGAAATATGTGGAATTTAGAGCCAAACATGTCAACGGTGTGATGTCTGACTTTGCCGCAACGCCATGACCACACCTTTCACCAAAACGTCTTTGTGCTTGAAAACAAGTGAGATCAAGTTATTACCTGTGTTCTGACACAAATTGTTGGTGATTAGGTCAAGAGGGTCAGATGGAGCTTTCCAAACAAAAAGATCACTTCCTGTTGTCAGGGAGCAGGGCTTTGATGATGTCATATGTCCACATGGCATGGTTGGGCATGCAGGCATGAATGACTCACATCAAGTTTGATGTATTTTAGCCTTTCTACGTGAAAGTTCCTGCTTTCTGAAAATGTAACAGATGGACGGACAGGGAGTATTTCTAAGTCCCCTGCCTTGGTGACAGGGGACTATAAATTATTTATAGTTTATCTGCTGTGAAATGGCATTTTAAAATGGCAGAGACACCTGACTCAGAAGACTAGTCATTAGCTCGTCAATTCAGTTTGAATTAAGATCTCTCATAATAAATTTGTCATTCAAAGAGCTATCTTCAACAGGTAAGATAATAACTGTTCATATCTACTCCACAGAACCTCACTTCAGAAGATCTGAATTATCCCTTTAAAAACAGGCCATTATTAATGTTTCGACAGTCAGCATCAGTCTTGATGTTTCTCTGTGTTTTGTTTTGTTTCCAGTTGAAGACCTGAAAATCAGCTCCCGCTCTACTGGATCAGCTGTGCTTTCTGTCAGGACATATCCCGTGGCTTCATGCAGGCTGCAGCATTGTTCATGTGTGTCGGTGGACTCTGAGGAGAAAAAAGAATTTAACACAAACAGGAAGCAGTCACTTTAATGAAAACTAGCTCAAATGGTCAAACAAACCAACAGAACGACCTGCTCCATGTTACTAAACTCGAAATTGCACTGGAGTTTGAAAAAGTACCTAAGAACACACTAAACTGTTTATTCCTTATTTATCAACAATAATTTACATTGAAGATTTGTGCTTGTGAAAATATTTAATTATTTATTCTGTATCATTATTTATTCATCTTAAGTGATTTAATTTGAGTATGTTTGCCTGCTGAAGGTGTAGAATTATTTTTTTAAACTCTTGTTCATGCATGTACCTGGAAGTGGTTGACTTGTCTTTGTCAGACCCAAACCTGGCTCTGTTCAGTTACACAAAGCTCACCTCCCTTTGTCCTTTAGTTAACGCTGCAGCCGATCTGCAGAGATCAGTGCAGAACACCCCCCACTCCCCCTAAACTCCTTGTATTTCCTCCAAAGCTCTGCAGCTGAAACTCTCCAGCAGACGTGAGCACGCTCACTCGGACCGTGGCCTTTTATTTATTTATTTTTTTACCGTTTAACCACCGGCAGCCAGCGGTGTTAACCATTTCTGGACTTTTAGAAATGAAGTGTTGTTCTGCCTCTGGCACGAAGCACTTTGTCATGTAAACACGTGCAGAATACTAAAGCCCTATGTTTGTCTCTGCTCAGTTCATCAGGTTTTAAAGCATCTGTACTTTAGGAAGGACCTATAAGAGTGAGCTCCTGATGTTTCATAGGGACAATCTTTCTTTGTGTGGTGTGGAGTAAAAGAAACTAAAAAAACACTGAAAATATCATGAACACACATGCATTAACAGCTAATCAGTTTTAGATTGCTGCCAAAGAAGTTCATACTTAAACTTTTATGTTGGAGTCACTTTTATGACTATTTTAGCAGAAATATAACATCCGTGTTGGATGTGCTCCAGGCTGCACCAGATGAGTGCACAAATAAGACAAAAAAAGAGCAGAATTCAATGTAAATAACTGCAACATGAAAAGGATTGCAGTGTTAACATGTATGATTAGTGAATTATGTGCTGTAACACTTCCTGTGCAGGCTGCAGCACTTCCTGCAGGAATTTCATCATTTTTCGCTGGAATAATCGCTTAATGGTAAACTTGACTATGATAAAATAACATTTACTTGAACAACGTTTGAGACTGGAGTTGTTTGAAGATGGTGGTGATTTGAACTAGCTGTTAGCTCATCAGACCGGTCAGAATTATTATTAGCGTTCCACAAAAAACTACTTCAAACTGACCAGAATATCCCTTTAATATTTTTCATAAAAAACTGTTTGAGACTTGTTTCTTTTTAAATGTTCGATTAATTTAGGCTTGACTGTTACACAGAGTGATGTTTACTGGTTGGACTCAATAAATACTAAAATATTTCTGATTTATTATTTTCTGTCTGTCTTATTTTTACTGATATTGATAGTTTGTTTGCAGTATTATTTATTTAGGTCTGTTAGTAAACAGTGAGCAGCTGTCACCGTCCTCTGAACAAAAGTCGTTATTTTCTCTCTCTACTGATGGCAGTTGAATAAACGAGCTTTTAAGCCCCAACTTGAAGGCAAATTATTAACATTATTAATCACAAAAATCCTAGAGATGTGGGAGTGTTCGACACTGATCAGGGACTGTTTTTTTAATCTTTAAATGATTAATTCAGCAGGGCAATAATTTGCCCACACTAATACTGCACTTTGAAAGAGGTTCTTTGAAGATAGCACAACAGATCCCACAGGGTTAAAACACACACACACACACACACACACACACACACACACACACACACACACACACACACACACACACACACACAGTTCAGTGATAAGTCATGCTCAGAAAGGAGATTTTCTTTACCCTGCTGCTTCAGACCATTGGCACCCGGTTGTTTATGAGCACACAGGTTAAATGTCTGGATATAGAAATGAATTCATACTTATCTCTTCCAGCTTTGGTCTGCAGAAGAATGGAGCCTCTTTAGGCTGAAAAATATGCAGATCATCAATCCGTTACAGGGTTAAAACACACACACACACACACACACACACACACACACACACACACACACACACNCACACACACACACACACACACACACACACACACACACACACACACACACACACACATCCTTTAAACAATATTCAGATCTCAAAGTTTTAGGAGACTGCATTTAATTTCGGTTGATTGTTTACACAAATACACTGCCTGGGCAAAAAAAATGGTCACACACATTAATATTTTGTTGGACCACCTTTAGCTTTGATTACGGCACACATTCGCTGTGGCATAAGCTTCCTAGGCTAAAAAAAGACATAAAAAACTATTGATCTTCACAAAAGAGCACCTGGACAAACCTCAAGCCTTCTGGGACAATGTTTTATGGGCAGACGAAACAAACGTGGACCTTTTAGGTAATGCACACAAACAATATATTTACAGACGGTGCAATGAAGCCTTTAAAGAAAAGTACACCATACCAACAGTCAAGCATGGGGGAGGATCCATATCAGAAGATTATCAAGCAATTCTAGAGCGAATTGTTTTGCCCAGTGTAAGGAAACTTGGTTTGAGGTGAAGATCACATTCATACTCTCTTCTCCAGAATAGATCTTACCGGGGAGGATAAGGAGAGTGATGCCCCGATAGTTAGAACACTCCCTCCAGCCCCCGTTTTTGAAGAGGGGAACTGCCAGTCCAAAAGGACTGTCCCTGATGTCCTCATGATGTTGCAAAGGCATATCAATCAAGACAGCCCCATAACATCCAGAGCCTTGATATCAGGGCAGATCATCCTCAGACTCCACCTTCTCCACTTCTTTCAATTCAAAATTCCTGCAGCACATTTTTTTACAGTCCGAACCCAGTGAAATACAAGAAGTAGGTTGCAGCACAGCTGGCCACTACAAAACCTGATAACAGTAGTTTATTTATTTTAAAAAAACATGGTGTAAAAGATGACACAATCTATTAAACTTTTGTTCTTCTGTGACAAGTCTAGGATTGGCTGGCCTCTCCTGGCTCCTCCTTTTCAGCTGGGTTTGACTGTTCAACTCCTGCTCTTCCAATCATTGAAGACATTCTCCTTAAGATCAGCTCTTCTTCTAATCAGGGCAGCTGCTCTTAGACTGAGCAGCTCATTTTGTTTGGGCTATTGACATTGGCTTAAGTTTTTGATCTTGGCTTAGGTTAGTTTGCCAGGTCTTTGTAGTTAAAGATTAAAACCAAAATTTTAATCCTGAGGTTTGTCATAGTAAAACCCTTTGAGTAGACTTTTTTTAAACTGGCTCAGAAGGCGTAGTTGTAAATATTGAGTGCTTTGGTTTGGGGCCAAAGGTTTTGTTGTTTTGTCTGATAGTTTATTCGTTTAAAAAACAGTCAGGGTTTAGAGCTCATCATAGCACAGAAACAGCACTGGTGCAAGTTACTAATGATATTCTCATGGCCTCAGACAGTGGACTTGTGGCCATTCTTGTCCTGTTAGATCCCAGTGCTGCATTTGATACAGTTGATCACAATATTTTATTACTTAGCCTTGAACTTGATAGTAAGTAAACTTTATTTCTATATCCTTTCACAGACACAAACATCACAAAGTGCTTAACAGAGCAAAAATAACTAAAAACAATAAAACAGATCACAAATATAAAAAAACAACAGTTAAAGCAAAACTAAAAAGCACATTAACTAAAAGCCTGTCTGAATAAAAATGTCTCAAGATGTTTCTTAAAAGAGTCAGTAGAATCTGAACAGTGAAGGGACAGAGGGAGAGCGTTCCAGAGCCTCGGGGCCACCACCTGAAAAGCTTTGTCTCCACGGGTTTTATAATGGGTTCGAGGGACCATCAGCAGCATTTGATTAGAAGTCCTGGATGGACAGAGAGGCTTCAGAAGGTCCAATTTGTATTTGGGGGCCTGACCATGAAGTGCTCTGAAAGTTAAAACCAAAATTTTAAAATGACTCCCCAAATGCACAGGGAGCCAGTGCAGAGAGGCTAAAACAGGTGTAATGGGCTCTCCTGTGGGTCTTTGTTAATAACCTCGCTGTAGCGTTCTGCACAGACTGAAGCCGAGCCAAAGAGGATTTGTTTAAACGTAAAAAGGCTGTTGCAGTAATCTAATCGATAAGAAATAAAAGCGTGAACAACCATCTGTAGTTCCTTCTGTGACACAAAAGATCTCAGCTTTGAAATGTTCCTTAAATGATAAAAACAGTTACGAACTAAAATTTTACAATGGCTGTCAAAAGACATAGAACTATCAAAGACAACACCCAGATTTCTGAGTCTATTTTTCACTGAAGGAGTTAAAAAAGCAAGGTGCTGCCTGATTACAGGGATTTTATCATCAGGGGCGATAATAAGAGTTTCAGTCTTGTTTGCATTTAACTGCAGGYAGTTGTTGTTCAGCCATATTTTGACTTCTGACAGACAGTTAACGAGTTCAGATTGATTTAAGAAGTCAGAGGCTCGAAAGGAACAGTACAACTGTATGTCATCATCAGCATACAGATGGTAGGACACATTACTGTAACATTTTAAAATACCTCCTAAAGAGTATAAGTACAATAAAAAGAGGACTGGACCCAAAACTGAACCTTGGGGTACCCCACAAGACAGCAGTGCAACATCAGAGTAAACCTGATTCATATAAACAGTAAAAGACTGTTCAGATAACTAAAAGGCAAACCAGTTTAACACAGAGACATACTGTATATTGATAATGGGATTACAGGAACAGCTCTAAAATGGTTTTAGTCTTATTTAACTGATATACTGTATTTCAGTTTGTTAATGTTAATGAATCTTCTTCTTACACCAGAGTTAGTCATGGAGTTCCTCAGGGTTCAGTGCATGGAACAATCCTCTTTACTTTATATTTGCTTCCACTAGGTAAAGTTATTAAACAGCATGGGATGAATTTCCATTGTTATGCTGATGATACTCAGTTATATTTATCCATGAAACCYGATGAATCCAACCAGTTACTTAAACTACAAGCATGTCTTACAGACATAAAACATGGATGACTCTTAACTTTCTGTTTCTAAACTCAGATAAGACAGAGGTTATGGTTTTTGGATCTGAACATTTTAGGGATCAACTTTGTAGCCTTTCACCTCCTCTGGATGGCATTAATCTGGCCTCTAGTTATAATGTAAAGAATCTTGGTTTTAGTTTTGATCAGGACATGTCTTTTAAACCCCACATTAAAAATGTTACCAGGACCGCCTTCTTCCCCCTGCATAATTTCACTAAAATTCGAAACATTTTTTCCAAAAATGATGCGGAAAAACTGATTAATGCATTTATCATGTCAAAGGTGGACTGACCTACTGTAATTCTTTATTATCTGGGCATCCACAAAACTCTTTAAGAAGTCTTCAGTTAATCCAAAACGCTGCTGCTAGAGTTTTAATGAGAGTTGGGAAGGAGAGATCATATTTCTCCAGTTTTAGCTTCTCTCCACTGGCTCCCTGTTAAAATCAGAATAGAATTTAAAATGTTACTCCTAACATACAAAGCTCTTAACAACCAGGCTCCATCATATATTAAACATCTTATTGTTCCATACTTTCCTAACAGAGCACTTCGCTCTCAGACTGCAGGTTTACTTGTGGTTCCTCGAGTTTCTAAAAGTAGAATGGGAGGCAGAGCTCTCAGTTATCAAGGTCCTCTCTTGTGGAACCAACTTCCAGTTTCTGTCTGTGAGGCTGACACTGTCTGCTTTTAAGATTAGACTGAAGACTTTCCTTTTTGTTAAAGCCTATAATAAGACTTGGGTTTCCTGAATTATTCTTCATTTCTGCTGTTATAGACTTAGACTGCTGGAGCACAAACTGAGCACATTTCTTCACTCTGCTGTTTTCTTTAGACTCTCTTCTCTACATGTTTATTGTAATTATTTCTATCAATAACATGTTTTTTCTTTTTGTCTCTTTTCCAGAAGTTGGTGCACCTGGACCAGTTCTTCTGTGTTTGGCTGTGTTTGTTTCCTGTCCGCCAACCCAGCTGGTCGAGGCAGATGGTCTCCTGTCCTGAGCCTGGTTCTGCTGGAGGTTTCGTCCTGTTAATAGGGAGTTTTTCCTCTCCACCTTTTGCTCAGGATGGGAGACTGTGATGATGTGATTCAACGTGGTCTGCTGGCTTCTTCTTTGGATTGTTCTTCTTTTTTCCATGTGTAAGTGCCCTGAGACAACATATGTTGTGACTTGGCTTTACATAAATAAACTGAATTAAAATTGAAATTGAAAAGAGACTGCCTAAAAGTTGTTGTTCATTTTGTCTTTGTTTTACTCCAGTAGTGCAATTTTGTTTTCTTGAACTTGTATAGCACTACCGTACCATAGTTATATTTTATTAGGTTTATTTATTAGGTTGTCATTTTG